ACGCAGATGAATATGATATTTTATCACACAATAAAATTTAGTGAATGGAAGCTCTTCCTGTTCATGAGTAGGAACCAAGGTCTGACCAGGTGTGCAGTTGGAGATGCCCTGCTTTTGGAAGAAGCCAGAGGTCCTTGCAAAGTCCTAAATTCTGCATTCTAGCTTTATCACCTCCATAGGGAAGACAATGCAATTGTTGTCTCTGGCTGAACATAGCAATGAAATCTAAAGAGAAGAAAATTAATTGGGGAGGTGGTAAGACACCCACTTTGAAGTGGAGAGTAATACCATTTTCACTTAGTTCAGTTCATAAAGTTGATTTGGATTAGCCTATGGTTAAATCGAGGAAGGTACCTTAGGTTAAATTTAATTTGCCATCGTGAGGCCATGTCTCTGATCTCTAATTCTTGGTGTCATTAATGCTGGTCATTGCTTAAAATGTGCAAGCCCATAATAGCAAAATGATCCAAAGAAAGTAAAGACTTTACAGTCTTTTTATAAATGCTTCAGTATTCTCAAAATTTCCATTTTACCTTTTAAGAAATTCAACTGGAGTTTTGCAAAATGGATGTTGATGGCCTTCACAAAAGCCACAAAAACTGCCTTCAGCCATCCATTTTGTGATCATCTTTGATTAAATGTATTCATTGGGGCTTTTACAGTGTTCAAATGTAAAAATAGAACATCACTATGGTATAGCTAACAGTTTTTAGGAAGTATCACTGTTTTAAATCTAAAAGATATGACACTGCGGTACTTCCACAACTCAAGTTGTGTTTCTTAAAAGCAATGAAAATTCTTCTACTTACTTAGCTTTCTCTTTATGATCCACTTTTCAATAACTGAGAAAGTAGCTGGACATTTAGGGCTGAATTATAGCGTTTGGATCTGTGCATAATGGGTTGCCCAGCAAGAGGTCAGGAATTCAAAAGATTGTGAAGTCAGATTTTTGAGTGACCCAAGGCATTAACATTTCATTTCTGACTTTTCTAACCAATTAGAGCAAGTGAGCATAATGAAAACCTACACCTAAATTTTAAAGCTTCAGTACTTAAATGCAAAGAACAGAATGAAAGTATTCTATAATTTGCAATGTGGAGTCAACAACCTGAGTGGAAGAGTCATAACCAGGGAAGCGTTCTATTCCCCTCTCTCATCCTGCTTCTAGAAGGCATCCCGGAGGATCATGTTGTCGGATATAAGAATACACAGAAAAATATAACAGATATCAACCAGGAGTCCTTAAGACCGAACAGAAATGAAGATAGACCAAAATGAGGAGAGACCACTTTGGATTTGGTGCTTGGCAATGAACCGGGCCAAGTGTCAGACCAGTTGGTAGGAGAGCATTTTGGCGGTAGCGATCATAACTCTGTTACTTTTACAATAGTCATGGAAAAGGATAGGTACATACAGCAGGGTAAGGTTGATAATTGGGGGAAGGGTAATTATAATTCTGTTAGGCAAGAACTGGGTGACATAAAATGGGAACAGATGCTGTCAGGGAGGAGCATTATAGAAATGTGGAGATTGTTTAAGGAATACATACTGCGTGTGCTCGATATGTTTGTCCTTAGTAGCCAGGGAAGATGCGGTCGAGTGAGGGTGCCTTGGTTCTCAAGAGAGGTCGAACGACTAGTTAAGAGGAAGAAGGATGCTTATATAAGGTTTAGGAAACAAGGATCGGAAAAGGCTCTAGAGGGATACAAGTTAACCAGGAAGGACCTGAATAAAGGGCTTAGGAGAGCCATAAGGGGGCATGAGAAAACCTTGGCGGATAAGATCAAAGAAAATCCCAAGGCTTTTTAGACGTACGTGAGGAATAAGAGAATGACCAGAGAAAGAGTAGGGCCGATCAAGGATTGTAAAGGGAATTTGTGTACGGAGCCTAAGGAGATAGGAGAGGTCCTTAATGAATACTTTTCTTCGGTATTCACAACTGAGAGAGACTTAGTTGTAGGGGAGGACAGTGTGAAACAGGTTCGTAGGCTAGAGGAGGTGGATGTTAGTAAAGAAGATGTACTAGGAATTTTGAGGAACTTGAAGATAGATAAGTCCCCCGGGCCTGATGGGATTTATCCAAGGATTCTATGGGAAGCGAGGGAAGAGATTACAGGGCCTCTGGCGATGATCTTTTCGTCCTCACTGTCCATGGGTATAGTGCTGGAAGATTGGAGAAACGTCATTCCCTTGTTCAAAAAAGAGAATAGGGATAACCCAGGAAATTACAGGCCAGTTAGTGTTACTTCAGTGGTGGGCAAATTATTGGAAAGGGCTCTGAGAGATAGGATTCATGATCACTTGGATAGGCACGGTTTGATTCATCATAGTCAGCATGGATTTGTGAGGGGTAGATCATGCCTCACAAACCTTACTGAATTCTTTGAAGTTGTGACCAAACATGTGGATGAAGGTAGAGCAGTGGATGTGGTATACATGGATTTAAGTAAGGCGTTTGATAAGGTTCCCCATGGTAGGCTCCTGCAGAAAGTAAGGAGGCATGAGATAGGCGGAAATGTGGCAGATTGGATTCAGAATTGGCTGACCTTTAAAAGACAAAGGGTGGTAGTGGACAGAAAATATTCAACATGGTGCTCAGTTACGAGTGGTGTACCACAAGGATCTGTTCTGGGTCCTCTTCTATTTGTGATTTTTGTAAATGATTTGGATGTAGGAGTGGAAGGGTGGATTAGTAAGTTCGCGGATGATATGAAGGTGGGTCGAGTTGTGGATAGTGCGGAGGGCTGTTCTAGGTTACAAAGAGACGTTGATAGGATGCAGAGCTGGGCTGAGAAGTGGCAGATGGAGTTTAACCCTGAAAAGTGTGAGGTGATTCATTTTGGAAGGTCAAATTTGAAAGCAGAATACAGGGTTAACGGAAAGATTCTCAGCAGTGTGGAGGAGCAGAGGGATCTTGGGGTTCAAGTCCACAGTTCCCTGGAAGCTGTGACCCAGGTGGATAGAGTTGTTAAGAAGGCGTGTTAGCTTTCATTAATAGAGGGATTGAGTTCAAGAGCCGTGAAATTATGCTCCAGCTATACAAAACCCTGGTTTGGCCACATCTGGAGTATTGTGTCCAGCTCTGGTCACCTCATTACAGGAAAGATGTGGAAGCGTTGGAAAAGGTGCATAGGAGATTTACCAGGATGTTGCCTGGAATGGAGGGAAGGTCTTATGAGGAAACGTTGAGAGAGCTAGGGCTTTTCTCTTTAGAATGATGAAGTATGAGAGATGACTTGATAGAGGTGTACAAAATGATCAGAAGTGTAGATACAATGGACAGCCAGAGACCTTTTCCTAGGGTGGAGGTAGCTATTACAAGGGGGCATCATTTTAAAGTGAGTGGAGGTAGATTTCGGGGAGACTTCAGAGGTAGGTTCTTTACTCAGAGAGTGGTAGGGGCGCGGAATGCGTTGCCGGAGCGGATAGTGGAGTCGGCCTCATTAGGGGCATTTAAGCGGCTATTAGATAGGCATATGGATGATAGTATAAGGTAGGGGTAGAGGTTAGATAGACCTTAGGTTTTGGGTAAAAGTTCGGCACAACATCGTGGGCCGAAGGGCCTGTACTGTTCTATGTTCTATGTTCTGTGTTCTAAATGAGAAATGATCAGAGGACATGAATGCCCTGAGTGCAGATAAAATGTCCCAAGAGGCTCAATGACCTCATCAGTGCAAGAGTGGTGAAATGGATGCCATATTCCAATGTCAGACTCTTCTCTCTGACTTCCACAGCCTTCTCCTACATTATACTCCTCAGTTCAACACATACATTGTGGGTTCATCCATTCATCTGTTTCAGGGCATTTCCTCATATCCCCATCTGAATCGTCACCACTCCCACTTACCTGCAACTAATTACCAATCCAAATCTATCCCCCACAGTATGACTTCTCACAGTTATCACCAGCCATGTGTTTAGAAAGTAATCCATTTGCAATCTGTAAATCCCTGAATCTTTGCAAGTCCAGCCAGGGCAGCAAGTCTGAAGTTCCTCAAATTCTGAACAGCCACAGCGTTAGCAAAATGGATGTAAAATGTGCTTGTGTGCAGCAGATTGTGAGATTCTGAAAATGTCACCAGCAGGAAGGAGACAGAGATCAAGAAATTCAGGATGCAGTGACCTTAAAAAACATCTCTTGTCCACTTGGGCCATCTGGAATGAGGTCTTGTACGAAGCTGCAATTTCAGCAATGACTTTCCATAGAAATCTGCAATTCCAGAGGCACTGACGCTCAGTTACGTCCATGAAGCTTCATCTGCTTGTATACTCTGATATCTAATTTTCTGAGCTGGAGCTGTGTTTTCTAACCTTCTGTCATGTGGCACATCAGGGGACAGTGGAAAAGGTCGCTGTTATTCCTTTATTGCTATTGGTGTTGTCTCTGTTCCTCTCTACAAAAATCCAAGTTTGAGTTATATAAACAATTCCATGCTACTAATGAGGCTATTGATGCAGGTCAAACGCAAAAAATTCCAAGGTGGCAAAAAAGTCTTAGAACTCACCTTCAAAGCAGTGAAAGTTAACTTTCAGAACAAGTCAGAAAAAAAAATGCCCTAGACAAATAAGCAGCAGTTGGATTTTGAAATTTGAAAGGTTTCCAGCCTGCCAATTTCTCAGCTTGGTTGATCCCTGTTGTCATCTTGCCTTATTCAACCAGTGACTTTCAGATAAACTGGCAAACCCATGCACTGCCAACTAAAAACAGAATCTGAAGTTAAAGATGCAGCAAATGGTCTTTTTGCATAAAGTTTCATCACGGATCCACCTTTCTCATGCTATGGTGAATGCACATCAGCTAAATGCAGAAGACAGCAGATTCCTGTTTGCTTCCTGACATGCTGATGTATTTTTGCCTCTTTAACCACCCAAACACATAGACACCCATCCACCCTACCAAAAAACCCCCTTGGTCACTTAGGGCCAAGTTTCCCAAGGAGTGGCAATATGATACAGAATGCCAGTTCATTCCTTTTTTTGCTGTGAAAGAATCATGCATTTCTTACAGGATATTCTGATCAGGACGCCTTCAGAAATGCGAAGCTGTGCTTCCATTCTGACAGTTACCTCATACTCCAAAATTGTCGAGTGGAAGTAAACCAAGACCACTTTCTCGCACCAGTCAGCTGCCGTTTTTTGAAATTTAAAGGTCCTGAATCACAGACATCCACTTTGACAACTATTGTTGAAAAGTAAGTATGTAAAAGTTCATGTGAGTGAGGGTAAGATGCCTTATGGGAGGTAGGGTGCTAGGTGAATAGGATGCCAGATGGGTAAGATAGCCTGTGGGTAGGGGATAAGATGTGAGTGGGTAGGATGACAAATGGGTAGGGTGTGAAGTAGGTAGCTGGTAGGGTGACAGGTGGATAGGATATAAGGTCGGTAGGGTAGCAGGTAAGTAGGGTGCAGGGTGGCAAGAGTAAGTGATGAAGTGTTTAGGGTAGGTTGAGGTGAGTGGGAGACATTGGGTCTGGGAAAGTGTAAGGAAGGGAGTAGTGTTGGGTCCCAACTGGGTATGGGTCTGGCAATGGATGTGAGTGGTGATTGGCCCAGAGCAGGGTATTGGGTCTGAAGGTAGGGGAGCAGAAAAGGTCCGAGGAGGATGTTGAGTCTAAAAGAGTGGAGGTGGTGGGGTTCCATACCTGGAATGAGGGTAGATATGTTGGATTTGTGGAATGGATGGTCATGTCTGCCACTGGGGCAGGAGCATTGGGCTCAAAGCATGGGAAGCTCATGCAGATGTGGAATGGGGGAATGGGGTATGGAAGCAGAGCAGGAGAAGATGGTGGTCAGATTTGGCAGTGGGATAATGTGGGAGAGGTCCCAGGCATAGAGGAGGTGGCAGATCCAGTGATGGCTGTTGTTAGGTCTTGGGGAGAGGCTGGTGGTGAGATGGAATCTTGGGGTCGAGGTCAGGGTCCCGGGTCTAGTGTATGTAAGGGATCTGGGGTAGGTGTTGTTGATGGTGTGTGAGGTCAATTGAGGGTTACTTTAAGAGTTACTCAGGAGTTAAATTAGGTATTCACTACTCTAACTTTTCCTGAGTAACTATTTAGTTAACTTCAGTGGAGCTTTCTGAATTTCCTGACTTAAGTGGATTCTTTTGGAGGGTTCCAGGTGTAGGGGAATTGCCCAGTGGGATCTTCAGTTTCCCAGGCAATTCCCTTGGAGTCTGCTATGATTGGGATTCTGCAAGGTCTCAAAATGCACCCCTTATCTATGCTTCAGGAATGATTATCTGGCCATCAAAAAATCCCAACCTCATTTTCCTGCATGTGTTCAATTTACCTCTCTTCATGAATATTTATCATCCTTCACTACTTGTAAGAAAGAAAACTTATACTCATTCAAAGGAGAATGAGACTGGAATTCTTTATCACAGAAAGCTGTGGAGGTCAGGTCACTGAATAGATTCAAGAAAGAGATAGATGATTGTTCAGATTTTAAAGGCATCGAAGGGTATGCGGAGAAAGCAGGAATATGGCACTGAGATAGAGGATTAGTCACAATCATATTGAATGGCATGAAACAGGTTTGAAGGGCCAAATGGCCTACTCTTGCTCCTTGTTTCTATATTTCTACAAACTTCATGATCTCCCAGACAATTAACTACTCTTGTATTGTAAGAAATGCAACAGCTAAATTTATGCCAGCAAATTTTCAGGAACTGTAGTTTGGTGTCTTGTCCAGACAATTTTGATAGGATCATTAGGGAGAACTGCCCTTCTCCAAAACAGTACCATCCTACCTGAGACAGGGCCTCAATTATGTATTGCATCTAAAGGATAACTCAAGCAACACTCTCATAGCATCTGCATTGAGGTTTCAGCCAAGTTATTTGTGCTCAAGTCTCTGATGGTGCTTGAACCCATGATTGTCTGATTAAAGCATAGAAGTGATAAGTTCCTTCACTTCTGTCCATTTTGGCAAAGAATGACACTATTGGCAAGAATTTGTATGCAATTTCTGTTATTGTCTTCATAATGGAAGAGAAATTAATTTTAGACCAGTTTGTTGAACACTTACTGGAGCAGTTCCTACTATCTCTGAAACGATTTTTAATACAGGCTTTTTACTTTTCAGGTTCAAGACCATACAACAGATTTTATGTCTATTGCAAGATAACATGCAAAGCAGTGCAGCCTGGGAAACTAAGGGCACGTTGTAGCACATGTCAGCAAGGAACATTGATTTTAACTGGGGTAAGCATACATTTCTAGCATTCCAAAAATTTTATCTTTGATACTATGTTGCTGCTATTGAACTTGAATTCTTGAACTCTAAAGAAATGTTTTGCATTTGGACAAAATATGGAATACATGATACATAAACTTCCAAGTTAGACAGAATTCCCAACATGGTGCACAATTTAATAAAATGGCACAAGTTCCTTGCCTGCAACCAACCACTTATTGTGTAGCTTTCAGTCATGTCACTAGTTCACCTGCTAGAACTGCTGTAACCCATCTGGAACTTCCTTGCTCAAGAACCATTTATTAATGTCACTGAAGACCTGGATGGAGGTCTTGCTTTCCTGCTGCTTGGTGTTTATGGAAATCAAGAAGAGGAAATGAAGATCAATGTGTAAAAGTAGACCTCACCCATAGCATCAATCAAGTGATATACGTATATATCTCTGAACAGCTATTATAATGTGGTTATAGAATCAAGGATAGCTAATAGAGTAGAAAGTAGTGCAGTTAGAGCTCATTGCCCCATTGTTGTACTATTTTAAATGATTTATTAGTTAGAAACGTATGGTCTTTATTTGATTTTCAATGCCATTTAATAGTGCTGTCAGCAGTCAATTGAAATATCATTGTTACTGAGAAATAAAATATTCATTTCAACATATAAATACTACCTTTTGTAGAATATTTTAATACATGCATCCCAATATGAGTTGGCCAATTCAGTGTCCAACAACATTTCCAGATTAAAAACCTAATTTAGTAGGAAATGGTGGGATGGCCTCAGAATGGAATGCTGTCTAGTCATCGACTGAGGACTGCATGATGGGTTCTTAAAGATATGAAAACCCAGTCCTGTCTACATGAAGAAGAATTTGACATACGTACCATGCCAGTGCTAATGACAATCTGGTTGAGTGTGACAAGATAACTGAAATTTAAAGCAAGACTTTCAGTATTTGCTCGCAGTGCCAAAATATTTGTTGCTTAAGGTGTTTCTCAGTTTTACAATACTAAAAATGTCTGAAATTTTATGGCTTTAAAAAGAAACTTACATTTTTAAAGCATCTTTCAGATCCTTAAAGTGCATCAGGGTCACAAAATTACTTCAGAATTAGCTGCCTGCAGGCTTTTATTCCTGCTTTTCCTGATCTATTGGATTTACTTTGGATATCAATAACCCAAGGCAGTTCCAACAATAGAATATATCCAATGTTCTTTATTAAAGCAAAGTACACTTCAAAAAATGCTGCAAAAAAACTTACCCATGCAATGCTTACAATTACAAGTGAATCCTTTTATGTGGACTTGTCCAAAGATCAGGCAAGAATAGCTCAATTTTGTAATGATTGGAATGAGGTCAGACAGGTGGACCTTGTAGAGGTCTCATAGTGGTCCAATCAGGGAGTCCTGGCTGACAGATATAAACAGGAGTGTGAGGAATTCTGTTCATTCTAGGAACCCACTCTGAGCTAGCTGGATCAGTGTCACGTACTATGCATGTGTAAATAAAAGGTGACTTGGTGACAGGATACTGGCCCTTGTGGATCTTTCTCGGTGGCGACAAGAGAAAAGCATGCCCCTGAAGAGATTCCCTTGCAATACTTGTCACTGAGTTTTGGTAAGCATTTCTGGCATCATGCCGCTATTTGGGAACCTTGATGCGTTCAATCCTGTGTCAAAGACTGGCCGCAGTATGTGAAAAGAGTTTTTTTTTCTGGGAAATTGACATTGGGGCAGACAAAAAGCAAGAAATAGTTGTCCTGACAGTTTGTGGACCTACAGCGTTTTCAGTTATTAGAAGCCTAACTTTCCCTAAGGCACCAGACTCTAAAACCTTTCAAGAGTTGACGGACTCTTGAAGGAATATTATGACCCCAAGCCTGCCCTAGTTCTGAGATGCTATAGGTTTCACTTGGCAGTTTGAAAACCAGGATCATATTGGGATTTTTGATGGAGTCAAGATGACTGGCAGAGGCATGTGATTTTGCTTTAACCCTGAATGAAATAAGAACATGTTTGGTATGTGAGATTAATGATGTGACCATGCAAAAGCACCTATGAGCTGAAGCCCAACTGGACTCCAAACAGGCACTACAGCTGACTTTTATTAGAAAATGTGGTAGGTTGAGCTTATTAGTTACAGGGCTTGCCAATGGAAGTGGACACCCTCACCAGGTTGACTGAGCTTCAGGTACACCACTTGAGTGAAAGCAATTACATATCCTCACTCAGGACATATCCTGAATAGAGGGATTCCACATCAGCCCGCAGCAGAACCCTGAAACAAAACCAAGCCTCGGCCAATTGGTTAAATATTCCTTGAGGATCCGGACCAGCAAGTCACTGTAGTTGCTGCTAGTATACAGTCTCAAGATGACATACTAGGCCTGAATTGAGTAAAAGAACTCATAGGCCACTGCCCAGGAGAGTGCACACCCTGGAAAGCCTACCTACAGCTGGTTTGGAACAGTTAAATTGCTTAGCAACATCCAAATCCAAACCAATCACACTAAAAGACATAAGTGTGGAGTTGGAGGAACACAGCAGGCCAGGCAGCATCAGAGGATCGGAAAAGTTGACATTTTAGGTCGGGACCCTTCTTCAGAAATGAGGAGGGGGGAGGGGAAGGGAGCTGGGAAATAAATAGAGAGAGGAGGGATGGGGCTGGCGAAGGTAGGTGGGATAGTGATAGTTGAGTGCAGGTAGGGAGTGGTAGGGATTGGTCAATGGGAAGGGTGGAGTGGTTAGGTGGGAGAGAAGATGAACAGGTTGTGTCAAGTCAAGGAGGCAGGGATGAGAGGGAGGGTTGGACATGGGATGAGGACAGGGTTGGGGAGATTTTAGAACTGGTGAATTCCATGTTTAGGCTGTCGGGCTGTAGGGTCCCATGGTGGAATATGAGGTGTTGCTCTTCCAGTTTGTGGGTCGTGTCATTGTGACACTGGAGCCCTCCAATGAAGGGATATAATGATTAGAACGAGGTCAGCCAGGTGGACCTCATAGAATTCCCAGATTGGGGCTATAAGCCTGATCCAATCAGGGAGTCCTGGCTGACAGACATAAACTGGAGTGTTAAGGGTTCTACTCACTCTAGGAGTTTGCTCTGAGCTAGCTGGATTTGTATCCTGTACTATGCACACGTAAATAAAGGGTGACTTGGTAACGGGATACTGGCCTTCGTGGAATTATTTCACATTTTAACTTCTTGTCGCTGATCAATTGACATTTTCCCCCAGCTAGCTTAATTCCTACTGGAGGCAAGCTACTTTATATGCTTTCCATGCAAAGGAGCTATGTATTCAAATCTTTTAACAGCATCCAGTGTCCAGAAAAAGATCAGTTTGACAACTGGCAAGCATCCACAAACATCTCATATTTTCCACGTCATTTTGATCAATTAATTAATTAAAACTTACTTGTGTGTCTTTGAAAAGACACTTATATCTTGCCCTTAATGAACTTTGACATAAAACTTAAGCTTGTGGTCGCTGTTCACCAGTGGGGCAGCATGGTGGCTCAGTGGTTAGCATTGCTGCCTCACAGCGCTAGGGACGCGGGTTCAATTCAACCCTCGGGCAACTCTGTGTGGAGTTTGTACATTCTCCCCGTGTCTGCGTGGGTTCCCTCCAGGTGCTCCGGTTTCCTCCCACAGCCCAAAGATGTGCAGGCTAGGTGGATTGGCCATGCTAAATTGCCCATAGTGTTCAGGGATGTGTAGATTAGGGGGATGGGTCTGTGTGGGATGCTCCAAGGGTCGGTGTGGACTTGTTGGGCCAAAGGGCCTGTTTCCACACTGTAGGGATTCTGATTATTGGTGATCCATTCAACTGTGATATTTATACAGCACAATTCCATGACAATTATAAATTCAATCAATAAATAGTCCATATTATCACATCTGATTCACTGCATCTGTTTTAAACAAAACTTAAGGCTTTCCAAAGTTTCCTTGACAGTTTGGCCCATTACTGCTTGCGTTAACTGATGTAAACAAAAACGCTCGTTCCTTCAATCAAAATACAAACACTTCAAAAATGTATGACCTTTTCCTAATCATTAGGTGATAAAGTTTCAAATGTTTTCTCCTTCTCATTTCACTCTAACTTAATTTCATTTAACTTCAATCCGGCTGACCCAGCAAATTTTAGGTTAATACCCAAACACCTGCACAAGGTTCCACAAACAGTAAGAAGAGTGCACAGTAATTAATTCATCATTACAATGTCCATAAAAGTTAACTAGAACAGCTGAAGAACGCGCTTGCTCTTTTTTGCACTAACTTGAACTGGTAAACACTGGGCATTAATTTTATGGAAGGGTTTAAACCCATTCATCTGATTCAGATGCGAAAATACTATCGCTGAAACATGATGTCAACTTAGGGCAAAACATTTGGACTACGTTTATTCAGTTATGTTCTGTGATTTTATGGAATGTTTGCCGTTATCTTATACATACATATTTGATTTATTTGTCTATATAATTACTGTGCTTTATTATTTCAAGGCTAAAGGTACACAGTCCACTGCACTAAGTGACGTAACTCCGGACTGTAGGTACTCATACAGCATAACAGCATAAGAATTAGAAGCAGGAGTAGAAGGATGACTTTGTAGTGGTGATGTAAAATATGAGTGATTGATAGCCTCTCCAGACACACTGTACATGCATAGACAGAGTTTTAGTGGAGGCTGTCTCAAGCGCACATGTCATGATGATGTATGTCTGCACAATTATGTCTTTGGCAAAAATGAAGCATCATTTGCAGTCTGACATCAGCCTATAACTGTCTTAAGCCAAGTTGGATACCTATTCCTTCATTGGAGTGAGGGGAACATTACAACTTCTCAGTCACTTGGGTAGCCAATGACAAAACCTCAGAGGTTTGGCACAACAGTCAATGTGAATTTCAGAAATTAAAAACAGTTCCAAAGTAATAAATTGTTCATTTAAATTAATAATAATTAAAATGGCCTTTCAAAGGTGCCAAGCTAAAGGTTTTTTTTGCC